AGAGTGAAAAATACTAATTTTCGCTTATATAAAAGAAAAATTATTATTTAACGTTTATTAACTTCAATACTATGCGTTAAAAGCCCTTTCAAATTACAACAACCCCAAAAAGATGTTCTGTATCTCGCTGTAGCGATGAAAGAAGGTACTGCAGGTGCAGTTCTGAACGCTGGGACTATCGTAATTCAGAACGTCAAAACCGCCGAACATATAAACATAGCCGAAGTCCTCCATATCGACATAATCGCTCAAGTTTAGATCGTTTTAGCCAAAGTCCTCTATATCAACATAATCGCTCAAGTTTGGATCGTTTTAGCCAAAGTCCTAGCTCACATCGCAGCCGAAGTTTGAAATACCGTGGTAGAAGTTCTTGTAGAAGTTCTGGTAAAAGTTCAGAACAAAATGGTATAATGCATTGATTTGATTAATAATTCACGAGATATTTTTGTTAAGTTTATACATTTTACATTTTAACATATATGATAGAACTCGCATCAATTCGAAATACCCTCGACTATCTAGTCAAGGAAGTTAAAAATTTAAAAGCCAATTCGCAGTTCTCTAGATCCTCCCAATCCTCGCTAAGAGCCGCTTCGGTAACACCGGTACCATCTGGTGGTTATGATTCAAGACGTATTCCACTCGAGAAAATGAATAACGAACAATTCAAGAATTTTAGGGTATCATGACCTTTTCCAATTTGTATATATTTGTTACGAACTAACTAAATTATCTTTTATTTTGTTTTATTCTGTAAATTTAGGATGAAGTCGTACAAATTCTCAGCGGGTTTGATAATTCTCTATCGATTGACCATACGCAAAAATGGAATGATATTTGTGATCATGTTTTTAAAGAAATTATGCCAGCGGTCAATCAAGCCCTAACCGGTAGGATGATTTACAAGCAAACGGAACTTATATACGTATTGCAAATATTGCATCGCCATCGGCGCGATAGTTGGCAAATCGCGCAAGATGAAATGAAACTAAAATTAGACAAAAAACGAAAAGGGACGAACTCACGATATGCCGATATATATATTTTTGTTTTTAGTATATCGGATTGCTTACAGGTCTTAACTTATTTATTATTCAGAAAAAAGAAAGAAGAAAATGAGGTATCACATACATGTACAATGTGAACGATGAAAACTTAGTCTCTTTGCGACCCCAAAGTTTACCAGAGGAGACCTTCAAAGAAGATATTGCAGAAATTATTGATAACTTCCACTATCATTCTGATGAAGTATCAGAGACTGACATTGAGAAAGCACGAGAGAAAATTAGAGAAAACATCAGGCCAAAAAATAAGGCTGAATCGAAAAACTTTCATGTAATACGAGTATACGATAAACCCTGGAGATCTAGAAGGGTATGAAAATTATATATTAATTATCTA